TGTGGTGGCACCGGGTAGATAGGTGGCTACAAAGGTTGGTAGCAAGCTAGAGACGCAGGGCTGGAACCTTAAGGGGGGATGGGTGGGGGGGGGGGGGAGAAGTGTACCTTCTTAATGCAAATGTAAAGCACTTCAACACAAGAAACCACCTCAAGGAGATGCCCTCACAGAAATCTCCTCCTAAACTCTTCTTACAGCCAAAATCTCTACGTCTCCTCTCCTTAGAAAACTTTTCAACAACCACCAAAATTCCAAAAGAAATTATGTTTATAGGCAGAGAAGAGAGGAGAAGAGAAAGAAGATCACCCCATCCACCACGATACTCGAATCGGGCCAAAGAAGAAAATGACGCATTCCCTGCTCACAGAAGGCGAAGCAACCGAAACATCTAGGACCAAGCGGCGAGCCTAGTGGAAGCGAGAAAAGTATCGGGAAGAAGAGAGAGTTTGTCATTCAAGTGTACCAGGGAACCAGCTTCCCAGAGTCAAACTACCAAAAAAAGGAAAAGCACAGCCTAGGGAGACTGCTCGAGACAGGGAAAGGGAAGGAGCCACACGCGAACGGGAGAGGGGAAGAAAACAGAGCTCGGGTGCGTGCGTTAGGGGAGTTAGGGATTAAAGAGGAAAGGGGGAAGGGGTAAAAAAAAAGGAGTCAATTAATATATATATAAAATAAAACCTGATTTACTCGCGTGCGGCGACGTAACAAAATGGGTGTCCTCCCTGGGCAAAATCGACGTTCTGGACGTGCCGGTGCAGTCCGTTTTGTCATCAGGGGTCGCTCGGACGACGTCGTCGACAATCGGGTCAAAAACGCGTCGAAATTCAAATTTCACATAATTTCGACCCGCGATCGATCGTCTCAAAAGGTTTACTCGAGCCCTCGACAAATAACAGTGCAAGCGATGCGAATTGTGGCGTTCGGACGCATCGACTCTCTGAATTGCAAAGTTTGTGCGCGCGGGAGTGCGAATTGTGCAGAATGTCACCCTAAGGCTCAAAAGGTCCTATAGGAATCCCTTTTGGGTTTCATCATGTTGGTTTCATCCTTCTAAGTGTTAGAAGTCGATACCACACACGCGAAACTCCAGAAGGGGACGGAAGTAGGTCAAACTCCTAAAACGAGGCGGGTCACATTTCTAAGGCTCTAAAATAGTCGCCGGGAGACCCCTAAGGCTAGATCCTAAATCCTAAGAGAAAGACTAGACCTCACTAAAAATGAGGTCAACATGGGGCCATGTTGATGGATGTTCCCCAGCTCCTACTGAGACAAAAAATCTTGGTCAATGGGAAGCAAAGGATGCTCGAATTATTTCCTAGATTTTAGGATCTATTGAGGCTCATATAGTAAATAATTTACGATCATTTAGCACAGCTAAAGAAATGTGGGAATATTTGAAGCGCATTTATAATCAAGATAATTCTGCAAAACGCTTCCAATTGGAACTTGACATGAATCATGAAAACTTGACATGAATAATTATAGTCAGGGTAATCTTTCAATTGAACAATATTATTCTGGTTTTTTAAATTTATGGAGCGAATATAATGATATTATCTATGCTAAAGTGTAAAAAGAGAACTTAGCTAGTCTTCAAACTATTCATGGAGAAATTCGTCGTGATCAGTTTTTAATGAAACTGAGACCTGAATTTGATATTGCTCGAGTTGGGTTGCTGAAAAGAGATCTGGTTCCGTGTTTGGATGTTTGTTTTGGGCAATTATTGCGCGAAGAATAAAGATTGGCGACACAAGCTATTATCAGTACAACAGATGAATCATCAGAAATAATTAATGTGGCATATGCTGCTAAGACCAAAGGGAAGGGGCCAGTGCAGTGCTACAGTTGCAAGAAATTTGGTCATATTGTATGGAATTGTGAAAATAAGCTATGTAATTATTGTAAGCAAAAGGGACATACTCTTAAGGAATGCCCAACACGACCCCAAAATCGCAAACCACAAGTACTTCATGCCACGGTATCCGACAATCCTGCCTCAACTACTACTGTTGCTGACAATAATCAATCAACTGTCACACCCTATATGGTTCAACAGATGATTATCTCTGCATTTTCTGCTCTTTTTTCTCTGCATTTTCTGCTCTCGGCCTTCAAGGGAAAGGTAAAACTATTTCTTCGATTACTTTTCCTTGGTTTGTTGATTCAGGGGCCACAAATCATATGACTAGCACTGTTGAGCTATTACATAACCAACGACCATACACTGATACTCAACATATTCAGGTTGCTAATGGGAATAATATTTCAATTACGACAGTTTGTGATATTAACTCATCCTTCAAATATGTTTTGGTTTCTCCTAAATTATCTACTAATCTACTCTCTGTTGGTCAAATTGTGAATAATAACTGTGAAGTACATTTTTCTCGTGATGGTTGTATTGTGCAGGATCAGGTGTCGGGGAAGGTGATAGCGAAGGGGTCTGAAGTGGGTAGACTGTTTCCATTGCAATTTACTATTCCTCAGAATATTTCATTAGCATCTTCAGTTATTGAGAATAAGACACACATCTGACATAAAAGACTAGGTTATCCAAATGATATGGTGTTGAAGCATCTACATAAAAGTGGCATTTTTTGTTCTACAGATAAGAATTTAATAGTTGACTGTTCTGTTTGTAAACTTTGAAAAATCAAAACATTATTTTTTCCTAGTTCAGGCAGTCGTGCCAATAAATGTTTTGACATTATTCATAGTGATGTTTGGGGAATTACACCAGTTGTTTCACATGCTCAATATAGATATTTTGTGACATTTATTGATGATTATAGTCGATTTACTTAGATCTATTTTTTACGTGCCAAAACAGAAGTATTTACTGTATTCCAAATATTTTTAGCATGTGTTGAAACTCAGTTCTCCACTCACATTAAAATATTACGATCTGACAATGGCGGTGAATACATGTCTCATGAGTTTCAAGCATTTCTCCAGAACAAAGGGATTGTTTCACAACGTTCATGTCCCTATACACCGCAGCAAAATGGCGTTGCTGAGCGAAAAATCGACATCTATTGGATACCGTGCGCACATTACTGATAGAATCTTCTGTTCCAGCTAGATTTTGGACTGAAGCTTTATCTACTACAGTTTATCTCATTAATCGCTTACTATCTCAACAATTGAAATATGAGTCTCTCTACTATCGAGTTTTTGATAAATACTCTAATTATCATACGCTACATATTTTCGGATGTGTTTGTTTTGTTCATCTACCTGCTCATGAACGTCATAAATTGATAGCTCAGTCAGTACGATGTGCTTTTATGGGGTATAATCCTAATCATAAAGGAAAGAATCCGTGTAAATATAATATTTCCCTCTTTGCAATTGTGAAGAATGAAATTCTTTATTCTGTCTGATTTCTTTTATTCCTGATTGATATCCTGATCGCGGTAGAGGCGAACGAAATGTCGCACCAGAGATCGGGCAGGAGGAGTGAGCGGATGAAACGAGCAGATCGTGGCAGAACGAAGTATCGGAATATGTGGGACGAAGAAGATCCCGTGGAACACAGCACCAGAGGTCCGATCGAAGGAGCAGCAGCAGAACTCAAACAAAGCGGACAAAGACGCCGCAGAACTCAAAGACAAGAACGAGCCAGCCAAAGATACCAAAAACTAAAATTTGAAGGATTCAGGCTCTGATACCATGACAATATTTTGAGCAAATAAAATGAATATCATTTCCTTTGCTTTTATTCCAATAAGTACAATCTATTTTAGACTATTTTAGATACATAATATTCAGTATATTCTAAATTAAGTAACTTAATTAATACATAATCATAATCTAAATAATTAGCAAGAATGAAAGAATTCGTGTAAATATAATATTTCCCTTTTTGCAGTATTGTGAAGAAGGAAACTCTTTATTCTGTCTGATTTCTTTTATTCCTGATTAATAGAGTCCTGGTAAATAACTAAGAATTCGAGAAAGAACTCCTGATTTCGATAAGGATATCAATCAAGAAGCATTGAAAGGTATTATGCAACCATGACTTCTTTTCCTTACAATAATACCATAGAATTAATCATAAAATCTAAAATATGAAAAATAATAACATTCGTTCTTCCAAACCTAATTTAGGCATCAAAAAGACATACCCACAAACAAGTGGCAAAGAGTGGCACTTTAAGGATTCCATAAGGAATGCGTCTACAGTATACTTTTCTTTCTAGAGCAGCATGGGAACACGAAGATCATGCAATTCTTCAATGACCGACAATAACGTGATCAAAATCACGAACACATAAAACGCAGCTCTTCAGTTTATACTGAATTTGGGCGCTTCTATTAGTTATATGTAGTTCTTCCATCTAAATTTTTACAGTGCTACTAATTGCATAAACTGAGTAACCCTTAAATCACTAGCACGCAGAATGCAGAAAAAATATATATGATTTTACTTCTTTTTTAGTGATTGTTTAAGTAAAACAGTTCAAGTAAAATTGCTGAAAACAAAATCATCTATGGTGCAGCCATGCTTCTAATTTCTAAGATTCCAACTTCCAATTCTTCTATTAAATGAGAAGGATTATCTTCAGTAAATAGTTAAGAAAAAGCACCCCACGCACAATGGTTACATTTTTTAAAATTTTATTTCTGCCAGATTTTAGTAGAAGCTGCTCTGAAACTCTTGGATGCATCAAGATTAAGAGGAATGTCAAATTTCTACCTGAGGATTCAGAAGAGCTGAGGAAGATGACTGAGCATAAAGGCCCGCTGCACTGCAGCCGCACTCCATTGTGGTCTTCCAGCCGAAACAAACATTTTGAACCACAAAAACCAGTATATAGATGATGCGGTTGCCTGTACCGCGGGACAAAAACAGCCCAATACTCCCATTCTGAGTGCCATTCAATTTCCAGAGCCTTGGCGAGTTGGAAATCAGTAACGGTGGGATGCATTTATGCAATAGATTCGTCCGGTTCATATTAATCAAAATATCTTCTTCACTGTGATCCTGCATGTTTAAATAGCTTATATTCGATTCATTCCGTGATTAAATGAGGCGAACATGAATAATTTTTTAAGCTGTATACATAAATGATCCCAACACAAATAAAAATTTATATTTATGTTTGGCTCGTTTTGACTTGAAATAATTAAATTAAATTATATGTGTGTATGTGTGTTTGTGTGTGCGTGTGCCTATATATATATAATTGATGAGTCTTGTTTTTTAAAATAATTTAATTGATTACAAGGTTACACAAATTAATAATCAATTAAAATTATTAATTAAAAAATAAAAAAAAAATTTAAATTATATTTAAATATAAATAGTAAGATTTAAATTTTCTTCTATCCCTAACATCCAACAACTACAACTGTGTGTCAAGAGGGTTTACGGTTTAGGGTTTTGAGGTTGTGACAAGTGCTATTAAAATGATGTTTTGTTCGTGAACAACTGGTGTTTGGCTCGCTCAGTGAAAGAGCTCAACACAAATAATTTTTTTTTTGCTTAATATATCAACCAGCCGAACAAATAATGATATTTTTTAATGAGTTGATTGGTACCAAGTGCATTGTTTATACTGATTTTACTGAGATTTGATAGTGTATAATACAAAATGATGTAAAACCTCGTTTGATATGAAGGGTCCTTTTGTTACAATAATTTTATATAAAGGTTGTGGACAAAAAAATGTACAGAAAATCAGACAACTATCCATTCTTCTATGCTTGATTAGAGGAGTTCTTTTGTATCTCGTGATGAAATTAAATAAAAATTCTCTAAAGAGCAGTTTTTGGCCATTTCTGAGGAGATAGTGTCACGGTATGCAGACATAATAAACTTTATTGTCGGTGATATTCCACCCCATGATATGTCATACAATGAGATGACAAATTTAATTCCTCATGTCAGTTTCTATTACTGTGATAACTCATATATTATATAGGAGATGTAATGAACAAATCATTAGGAGATGTTTCCCTTGAAAAAAAAACTCATGATAAGTGTCAGAGAGTAAGTAATATTTCGAAAAGAGATGAAATGTCTTTGAATTATACCTTGTAAGTACAAATCTTTGATGTTTAAGGATTAAAATTTATGGGACTTTTTGTGCCTTCGTTAGGATATTTTATATCTTACTGACGCTAGATTATTTCTCGAAGTGAAGAGAGATTGTTGCTCTCTCATAATGGAACTGCTAGATTAATCACATTAATTCGGTGGAGTAAGAATATTGCCTCTAGATTAGTGCAAAATTTTTAGGAAAAAATAACCAATTGAGCCTAAAAGTTGGAATTAGGAAACTAATCCATGTTTTCTAATCTAACTTCTTTAGACTACCGAAAGGGGGTAAGAATGATGGTTGCTCTCGTTTGTTACTTGCTTGTTGATTTTTTTTTCACTCAATGTCTTACAGAACCAGTTCACGAGAAAAATCTCTTAAGCATTTGAAAGCCATTGACTTTCATATGTTGCTAATGTAGGGTCTTTTGAACTTGATAATTTAGGAGTAGTTATAAGCATTATCAAAACTTCAACATTTTAGGCTAGGACAAATAATAGTATACTATAACTTTTCTTTTTGGAAATCACCTTACTCTCTGTGGGATCATCGCCCAAAACTCTATTATGGATACTACTAATATGACACATACGATTGCATGAATCGCTAGTGCTTTGCAACACTTGATTCATATTGATTTTTTCACCAATGGTTCATTCATAAAGTAGATAAATCCATTATGTATTGAACAGAAACATTTTTTTTCAAAGGAAAGACCTCTATCAAGACAGTTGAACAGTCAATCATAATAAATCAAGTTGATAGATTAATATATCTATTGTTGAAGAGACTTGCATAGATATATATGAGATTTTAAATATGTCCATATATGTCAAATACATATTGCATTTAAGCCTCTTATCTTAAAAAGTTTGAATGCCTCGCTTATTGCTTGCTTAAAAGATGGTGCATGCCTTAATAAGCCTCAGTTCTTATAAGTGTAATTGAAACATGTATGTGTCGCGAGTCGGTCTATTTAAACACATTTCCCAATTTAAGTTTATCTTTAATGGATATCAACCTCTTTGAAGCCGTCAAACTTCAATTATAATTACATGGTTATGATTTCCTCTCATAATCATAAACTATAGCTTTAGTATTTAGATTTTACTTCACAATTCTACACACTTTAAACCCTAATGTTGAAAAGACAATTCAACCAATTGAACAAACCACTTTAATTGAAATTAACCTTTTTAAATTCTCATGTTACCACTAATATAACCATAAGACGGAATGAGGTAAGCTTCTCAAAATCATGGACAATTCAATCAGCCTTGACCCCAAAATTATAAATCAAACATCCAACAATCCAAACATCTGATAAAAATGTTGAAGTTAGATTAAATCCCAAGAAATCAATAACTATTTCTAGAATATTGATCCCATTTCAAAATTTTTGTTCACTCATCTTCACCCACATGAAGAGACACCAATAAAAGCTTTTCAAATGAATAGAAATAAAATTTTCCATCAAGACGCGAGAAAATCGTTCTCTCACTCCTACTTCCGAGATGAGTTCCAATTTTTAATGAATAATGCTCCAGAAAGTAATGTGAGGGTTATTCTCATCAGAGATTATCATCAACCCTGCTATAAGAGCTTCAAACATTGGTATAGAAAATATATAAATGAATAATTCTATCTTTAAATTTGTGATATATATAGATACATCAATGTCACACTTAGGAGAAAATAAGCAATGAGAAGATATCATTCTATTCATCCCTTGGTTCACTCAAGATTATACAAATCAAATTTAACTTGTTATGATTATAAAAAAAATGATAAAATGAGCAAGGATAGGTAATTGAGTTACTAGATCTTCCATCAAAAGCTAGAATTAACCATTATAGACTATTCATGCCATATTACTATTTTGCCCTTGTTCTAAAAGGGTTCATACTAATGTATTTATGGTATTTTTCATGTATGAGTTTGTCGTCCGGCTACATTCTGACTCGGCTGGCCAAGCTTAGTTAGTTTCGGGTAGACGAGATCAGCTAAATCATCTAAGCTTTTAGTCGGTGTAGGTTGGGCATCTGATATTGCATGGTTTGTCGATCCTTGATCCATTGTGAGGAGCTTTTGGGGCATCCATGAGATAATTAGAGATGTTGTAGAACCGGATCTTCTCTTAGATTGACTAGAATGGCAGGTAGGGCTGTAAACGAGACGAGCCTAAGCGAGCACAGGGCTGCTTGCGTTCGACTCGTGTTTGAAATATGCTCGTGTTTGAAATGGCTCGTGAAGGGTGTGTTCGTGTTCAAATCGAATAATATTTTCCGGCTCGAGTTTGGCTCAAAATTGAAGGAATTGGAACAGGAAGATGACTAGGAAGAGGAAGATGAAGAGCAAACCCTGAGCTTTCGTCGTTGAAACCCTTTCGCGATTTTGAGAGGAGAAGGAAATGACTCTGAAGAGGAGGAGAGCAACGAACACAAACGACAAACCCTATGCTCTTGCGGTCGAACGCCTTTCGCGATTTTGAGAGGAAGGAGAAGAGTCGGAGGAGGGAGAGGCAACCGAACCCGAGAACATTCGAGAAGGAGGTCGCCGGTTGGGGCTTAGGAGTAACAAGTTAGGGTTTTTTTAGTTTTATACTTATATATTATATTATATTAATTATATAACTTATATTATATAAATATATAATATTTATATAAGTAATATTTATTAATAATTTGTCATATACTATAATTTTATAGGATTTAATTTTTTAAAATTTGATAATTTTTTTATTTTAAAAAGTTTTAATTAATTACAATTTATAATATTTAATTTTATGAATATGTATTATATGTGTGTGTGTATTTATTTATTTATTTCTTTTCGAGCCAATTCGAGCCGAACGCAAGCGAACAAATGTTTGTTCGTGTTCGACTTGTTTATATTTCGAGCTTAAAGATTTGTTCGTGTTCGGCTCGCGAAGCTTAATGAACGAGCCGAACACAAGCTGCTTAACGAGTCGAACATGAGTTGTCCGCGAACAACGAGCCAAATTGACAGCTCTAATGGCAGGTAGGCTACAACATCGGGTCAGCTTTTTTTTAGTGGTTGGCTCGGACGTTCCTTTGTTCTCGTTTCTGGCCAAATGATTTCGGTTCAGATCATCTCGTCTTCTTCTTGTCCATCTAGTGGGTCGGTTCGATTTTAGGTTTGCTGGCTTGACACAGATAGCTTCGTTCCGTCGATCAAGTGGACCTCAAATCCTCCTAGCAATGGGCTAGCCCAATTCACATACTTTCCCTTTCTGGACAGTTTTATTCCTTCGAGATTGGTGCTAATACATATTTTACGTACAATGAACATTTTAAATATGTATTTACAATCTAGCTATTTAGTCACAAATCATCCTTTTTTTTTAAAATTGACTAAATATCCATTAAATTTTGTATGTATTAAACATATAGCATTTAAAAGTTTATATTTATTTATACTGCATTTCTAAGATCCAAAACATATTAAAATATAAGCATAAAATATATAGTTTGTATACATAAATTAAGATTTTTATTTAACTTCATAATAGGGTATGAATAAATATAAGAAATTTATGGCATGTAAAAAAAAATTCTTTCGAAATCTAAATGTTACCATATATACCCAGTCACCTTATTAATTCATAATTTAATACTTTTAAATTTTAAAAAAATTAATCTCACAAGATCTTTTAACTATTTACTAACTCATGATAATATCTTTCCCTATTTAAAACACATCTCACATAAATCCTTTCCCTATTTAAAACACATCTCACTAATATTGCCGCCGGCTTCCTCTCTTCCGTTCTAATTTCAAATTCGTTTTCGCACTCTTCGCCATCCCAAAGTTACCATGCTGGCCATCCCATCCCTCCACTCAGCTCCCGCCGCCGCCAACGCCGCCTCCGAAGAGAAAAAGACGGCACCTTGGCGGCCACCTCCTCTCCTTCGTCCCCCACCATCTCCATTGACGAGAACTCTCTTCCTCAGCCTCGACCGAACCCTAATCTACACTCGCAACCGCGTACCAGTGTCCTGGTGGCCCTACGACTTCTCCGTCAGGCTAACATCGCCGGAAGGCACCGATTTTAATCTCTACGTGGTAAAAAGGCCCGGACTTGACGATTTCCTCGGCGCCGCCGCCGCCTACTTCGAGATCGTCCTGTTCACGACGGCGCTTGAGTGGTGCGCCTCGCCGGTGATCGACCAACTAGACCCCTCCGGTGATCTGATTTCGCATCGGCTGTATCGTGATTCGTGCGTGGTGGGACCCAACGGAGAGCTTATCAAAGACTTGTCGAAGATGGGAAGAGATTTGAAGCGTGCGGCCATCGTGGATGATGTCGCGGAGAGATTTTCGAAGCAGAGGATGAATGGGATAAAGGTGGCGCCTTTCTACGACGGCGATCGCCGGAGGGACAGGGAGCTGTGGCGGGTGTGGAGTGTGTTGAGGATGGCGGTTCGGTACGACGATACGTGGACCGCCGTGGCGATGTACCACGCTCGCCGGCGAGGGTTTCTCTCGTAATTTGCATTTCTACATGTTATGACATTATATGATTTTTTGTTAGGACAAAAATAAATAATTGAATTTAAAGGGATGAATAGTTAAAATTAGAGGATGTATAACAATTTTTTTCTGAAAAAAAAATAAATGTCCTCTATTTTTAACTATTTATCTTTTATTTTTATTATATAATGTTTTACATTATATTATTAAGTTGATTAATTTGATCCTAGGCTTCTTAAGTGGAATGATTTCAGTCAAATGTTTTTGTATTATGGAAAATTAGTATATGTTTGTTGTTTGATTGTTTGGTTGTTGATGTATTTTTGAATAATATAGGTTAATATTTTTTTTAGGCAATATTTATTTATTTATTAATTTACAAACAAAGACTATTGGTTTATGGTAATGTTTAGTTGCTGATAATTTACATTTATTAATTTGCTGATATTTATTAAATTAAACTATTTAATTATAATTTATAATATTTAATTATTCAAAATTTGGATTGATGACTTCGGTATAGGGATGGCTTGCTAGTTGTTTGGGATCACTTTTTTTTTATTTATTTTTCTTTTATTTTAAAAATTTAATTTTTTTTGTGTATTTCTTAATGTTCTTATAATATTTTATTTTAAAAAAATTAGCTTGTTCTAAAAATTGTCAAAACATCTAAAAATTACTTTGATAATTATTTAAAATAATTATAACAAATTAGTCATATCTTTTAAATAAAATAAAATAAATAATAAAATTAAAGTGATTGCAAATGGCTTCTAAGGAGCCGCGGGCCCAGTTATTTTTACTTTTAAATTGTTTTATATTTTTTTAAGAAAAAATATATTTGATAATTCAAAATAAAATAGAATAATTTTTTTAAAACACTTAAAATATTTAAAAGTGTTTATTAGTGTCTTCAAAAATATTATAATTTACTTTTTTTTAAATAAATTATTTATTTTTTGTCAGGAGAAAATAAATAATTGAATTTAAGAGATGAATAGTTAAAATTAGAGGATGTATAACACTTTTTGTCTGAAAAAAATAAATATCCTATATTTTTAAAAAAAATTTATTATTTTTATTATATTTTGTTTTACATTATTATATTATTTTGATTAATTTGAAGCTAGAAGTGGTATGTATTTGGTGAAAAGTTTTGTATTATAGAAAATTAGGATTTTTTACAATTGTTATTTAATTATTTGGAATTTGTCCTTTAAAAAAAATATTACATCTGATTTAAATGTATGTAGATGAAAATACTTGTCTTAAAAAAAAAAAAACAATAGAACTTTTGATTTATGATAATTTTTACTTAGCAATAATTTACTTCTATTAATTAATTGATATTTTAAAATTTCATAATTTCATTATAATTTAGTGATATTTGATTATTCAAAAATTAGAATACTATTGCCTTGTTTTTTATCACTTTTTTTATATCATTTTTTTTTATTTTAAAATTTATTTGTTTAGTGTATTTTTTTATATTTTATTTAAAAAAAATAACTTAATTTCTTTTAAAAATGCTAATGACATCTAAAATTTATTTTATATTTTTAAAAACAACTAAACATGTTATAACACATCAAATATATTTTATTTTTAGTAAAATATAATAAAATAAAATAAAAATTAAAAGTGCTCCTAATGGCCTTTGGCTCAAATCATTTTTTTCTTTTTTATTTTAAATTTTTATTGCTAACATTTTTTGAGAAATAAAATATGTTTGATAAATTAAAATAAAATATATATATTTTTTAAGACAGTGAAAATATTAAAAAGTGTTTCTAAGGGTCTTCAAAGATAATTTAATTTGTTTTTAAAACGAAAATTCAAGAAACGTAAAAACACGCTAAATAAAATATTAAAAAAATTCAAGAAACATGAGAGCCCAAATGACACGAGTCCTATTATACATAAAAGGTCTTTCTATTGATAGACTATAGGACAAATATAAAAATACAAGCTTGCTCTTGGAAGTTATTTTCATTGGCACATATTCATGTCTCTGACACTTCTTCGTTACGATAGGCACATTTTCATATTCAAATGAGCATTTTGGTCATAAACAAATGCCCTCGAGGCTCTTACTTCTTGAAAGTGAAGTTACGATAAGAGTGATAGACTTTAAATATACAAAAAAAAGTAATAATAATAATGCACCAATTATGTTGCATTGATTTTTGCGTCTCTCCGCGCTTTGTTTTCTTCGGTCCGTAAATGCTTTTCTAAGGCCTTTTCGGGCTAATTTTTACTCTCACTTAGTCAACACTTGTAAGGAATTATTAGTGATTTGTTCAAGAAATAGATAAAGCTTTGGACCCATTTTTACCTTTGCTTATTTTGTATCTTATCTTTACTACAAAATTTGATTGCTGAAGTTTGACATTTTTGTTTGGTTGACAACTCAGATCTTCAGAAAGACCGTTAGTCATTTCTTATGTATTGTAGTTTGTTGATCGATTGGCTCAAGTCTTACAATACTCGTGTCTCATTTGGTCGGTCGGTTCATCGCCTTGGTCGAGCTTATCTTTCACCAGAGCTTAGGTAAATATTGTCGCTAGCTTCACAGGGGTAACTGACGAGACTCGCTGCTAGGATGATTTGCGCAGCACTTTTTGCGGAGTTTGTCGCTACCGCAGCACTTTTTACAGAGCTTGTCGCTACAGAGTAGGGAATCGCCTCAAGAGCTTTTACTTTTTCTAAATTTAGAAACATGACTTTCTATGCTTGGCGTTGATGATTGGTTTACTCGCCCTAGAGGTGGGTTTTTTATTTGCTCCTTAGGATTCTAGTTCTCTGAGTGTCGCATGTGAACTCTTCGAGCACCTCAGGTCTTAGTCGAACATAGGAAAACATAATTAAAAGAGTTGACATATATATTGCAGAGAAAAATAAAATAAAACCGCTAGATAATTTGGTCGCTTGATTTATTTTTGCCGCATGGATTTGTTTGGTTGTCCCGAACTGTCAATAGCTAAAATTTTGGTGGACGGAATTTTTCAGTCACCCGAAACTTTTAGTCATCTATTTTTTTTATAAGTCGTATTGATTTTTCGGTCGTTCGGAAATGTCAGTCGCCATAATTTTTCGTCACTAAAATTTTCGATTGTCCGAAATTTTTTATCACATAAATTTATTAGTCGTCCAAAATTATCAATCGATAGAATTTTTGGTTGTTGGAATTTTTGGTTGTCTTAAATTGTCAGTCACCAGAATCTTTTGGTTGTCCGATAAAGAGTTTTGGCCGCCGTTCGTCCATCTGAAGTACCTTGTCACTGTTTGCGTGAAAAAGCTTGCTGGCGCCAGCATGAAGGAGTCTTTCACCGTCAGTCTGTCTTCCGACCGCCATAATAATTACATGTACTCTTCATCATTTGTTGGTTGATTTTTCGGTCATTCAATCTTGACGGTCGCACCAGTAAAAAGTTTCGAGGCTTGCAGGATATTGAAGATTTTGGCCGGTCGGATTTGCTGCAACCTGTTTGGATTTTCAGCAATTGGCGGAGCCTTCAGCGACTGCTCCTGACGAGTGACTGTAATTGTGGCACTGGTTAGGATTTCGGTCTGTTTGGAATATTTTATGCTATCTAGAATTTGATTGGTGGAACTTGTCTGCCACATGTAATTTTGGGTCAGCTATAAACTTTCGGCCGGTGAGATTCGGACTCTAGCCGTTTCAACGGTCCGGATTTAATGCCAAACAATTCATATATATGCCCTCTATTAATTTATAATTTTGCCATTCGGTATGTCCACAAATTTTTACTCAATTTGCTATGGTTTTAAAAATGAAACCATTCATGCGATAAATATTATAATTTTGAATTAAAATAATAATCAAAACATTCATGCGATGAATCTGATTCAGAATATTGTATATTAAATTATTATAATTATTATTATTACGACTTTTAAATCGTTTGAAACATATTTAAACAAATTTTAATTCTATTAAAGTCATTCGGTTTCTTTCCTTAAAAAATCAAAAGGAAATGATCCTTTAAACCTTAAAGCTTCCTTTTCAGTTCAATATCGAATCTGTTTTTTAAACCTTGATATGTTAGTTCTAAAGACAACAATAGACTTCTTTAATCAAACGAGTGCATCCACTGGATCTAGTTGGCGTGTCAAAAGTGTTTACAATGAATTGCATAAATCATAATTCACGTAGAATTTGATAGGGGCATAAAGCGTGCACCAATATTAGTCACCAAATATTACCATGCTGTTGAATCCTTATATTCGTCCATGAATCAATCCCAAAAAATAGAATGCAGACAATCAGAGAGAATATGGAAGATAAGGTTTTTTTTTTTATTGTCATATCATCTTGAAAGTGGAGATTTGTGTTAGGATTTTATCTTTGAAATCAACGAGAGAATGTGGAAATAGAGCCTTTGTATCTTCCCTTTGTACTTAATCCTTGGTAGTCCGCCTTCCGTATGTGCCACCCCCATAGTACTTGTTCTTTAGCTCTCCCATAGCACACGGTCTTTAGCTCTCATCTCACATTGGTCTAGACATTCATCATTTCATATTCACTCCATCTGTCGTCTGCTCTCGGACTTATCCTTTTGTTGATTGACGCTAGGGCTTAAGATGACTTAATATTATATATATATATATATATA